CAAAAGCCTTAAGTGGTGCAAACTACATTTAAATCTCAGCATTAAAAAAATAACAATAATTCCATAGATTAACTTACCCCTGTTCTATCAAGACGATCTTTTCTCACATAATTATGCACATACTCCGTTAACGCAGGCATACCACTAAGTGTAAACATTAAATATGGTATTCCAAGATAAATTGCTCCACGCAATACTTCACGTTGCCAAGGTGACATTACCTCTGAAAAAAAAACATTTTAAATAGCGCAATTACTCATTTATTTATTTATTAAAACACAAACTTGATGCATTATCTGCACCGACAGATGAGCCATACAAAACTTCGTAGTTGGTTTGAAGGCTAGGATACTGCCCGGACGCCCAGACTGAAGCAGATAGTTATGTTTCCGACCACCCACTCTCCCCACCCTTTGACTTGAAATCTTATCCACAAGGCAGTAGAGAAGCATCAGACTCTACATCCCTATGGTTTCTGGTGATTAAAACAGGTTCATATGTCATTCGACCCTTTCAGATTCTGTAAACCATAGGCCTGGAATTAGGGTTTCCTAACACCCCTAGAAAGATCTGGATATCCACCAATTCTGTTATAAGCACTAGATATTCGTATTCCCTAAAGCCTATCCACCCTCGACCGCACTTGGTCGTTTATGATGGTGAAAATAACAACTATGTGTGTTGATGCATTAAAACCTACCCTACTGACTAAATGAAATTCACACTGATAACAGTAGATGTTTTTCTTAACACAGATTCATGGCGTAAAAACACATGATGATAAGATAAGCAGTTATACCAATAAAAATACACTACATGACAATCAAAACAACACAAAATGTTATACATTACAGGAAACTTATCAACATCCTGAGCAAAACTATGAGATTGAGATTTGTCCCAATTAGAAATGGAAAATAATGCCACAGGAATGATCTGCACCGATTCACTTCAAGGATAACTAATGAAATGAGTGAATGTATGGACTACCCCACCCACCCCCCCCACACACACACACACATTTTACAGTTTGTACCAGACTTAATAGACAGGTTGATGATAAAAACTCAATACGAATACATAAGACTGGCTTTATGCTGATTTGTCAGTCAGATGAATAGACAGTTCTGCACCACAACTTCTAATCAAAATTAAAGAAGGCATTTATTTTCTAGTCACAAACATTCTACATATTCTTCGTCAGAATATATGTAGAACGAAACGGCTGGCTGGTACGTTCAAAAATTCAAACCTAGACAAGCATTACTGAGTTGGAACCTGAAGTCAATCCTTTGAAAATAAGTCAGTTCACTAGTTCTACAAATAATTCACTGATGTAGTTAATTAATTATTAATTGATATTCTTACTTTATTCATATTTTAGACAGACACCTCAACGAAAACCCCTGAGTAAAATTGTATCAAACAAATTGCCACATTTCACAACCACACAGACGAAAGTACACACACACACACACAAAGGCGTATGGGGTAGTACAAACATTCAGTGCTTAGCAAATGACAAAAATTGAATTTATCTACGCCTATTTGAACGATTTCAATCCATATCACAAAAAAGTATCTCCAACCAATGGTTTTTAAGATCCCAATAACTCTCCCCAAGCAGTGTAGAAGCCGACGGCTAGTGATAACATGGACTGGTGCCATGTTTCAAATAGACCACCACTTACTCTTTTCTAATCGAATCCCACTTCAGCTAACACAGCCTATCAGTTAAGGCAGTGGTTTTCAACATCACTAGTAAGTGTTACAAGGATCTCAAAGGAAGTTTTACAACACTAATCGGTTTACTATAATCTCCTTGTACTGCCTAAACTTAGCGTCACTTTATAATACTCTAGCTTCTCAACCAGCTAGTCATTATACAAACAATTTTACCAACTACTTTTCTCTCATCTCAATCGTTTATGCCATGAATATCACAAGCTTTTACCCCCCCCCCCTCCACACACACACACACACCTAGTCCTTATGAATCAGACTGTTAAACTTTTGTTCAAATTCATTCCTCTGAAAAGGTGTCTTTCATGTTCCAGGTTACGAGCCTCACCTGTTGTACGAGGGATGACAATGTTACGTAGTAGCTCAAGTTGAAGTACGTGGAGTGAGATCCGAATCTGGGACGCAAAATGACTATACGTCAAAAGCTTAATTCAGTGGGCTGTTATTTGTTTCCAGGCTACCAGTAGGAATTCGAGGACCTGCTTCTTGGCACTTGTTAACACTTCAGAAAAAGGATTGATATTTGCGTCTATGTCATACAGTATTATAGTCGGAGACACTAAACAGACTCAGTCATTATGTACCCGAAGAATGCATAGATAACCAATTCTTAAAACCTCAAGAATTTTGTGTGACGATTGCTACAACCTATACAATGATACCATTGTAGTTAACCCGTCTTTCTGTTAAACTGTTTTATATGTTTTAAGTTGGTCAGTCAACAAGTTCAAATGACAAGCGACAGAAAACTACAGGAGTATGCATGTAAAAATTAGTCTGCAAGTACTCCATGTGCCCAAAGCTTTTTTTTTGACACTGAAGATTTTAGAAATTCAACGCTTTCATAGCTATATACATTAAAATATAATATGCATGAATATAATTATATTGATACAAAGGCTTCATGGGTCATCTTTTGAATGGAGCTATTGTCTATTGATATACGGACAACACATGAATCTACTTTCCGTCATTAACTATTTTCGTGATACAATTTTGTGACATTTAGCACTTCCAGTTCATGAGTAAAAGGTTCAAATTTCGGTCTACCTATTTCGATAGGACATTCAAGATGCTACCATTCACCCTCCACAATAAGCAATGATAAATAGCTCCGTACACAAAAAAGTCTATTCAACGTAGCTTAATTAAGATTTATTTGTAGTCAGAAACACAATAAATATGCACAAGTGTAATAAATGCATTCATTGTAAATTTAGTTTCCAGCTTATTCGTGGATGTAACTTTAACGAAAAATATGATTGTGGGATAAAACTGGGGCAAGCTGAGTTTTATCTCCTTAGTTCTATTTAGCATCTACTTCACATGAAATTGTATAGCTATAGTCGTCCAAGATATGCGTCGGTGGTATAGCGGTTAGGACGCTCGCCGACCATGCATATGGTCCGGGGTTCGATCCCCGGCCGGCGCACTCCTTTACCTCACTGAGCCAGAAATAATGCTGGTAAAGACGAAAGGTTGGGCATGAGGCTAGCAACCCCATCCTATAAAAATTAAACACTGCTACAGAAACTTCAAGCCACTAACTTGTAGCCCTACGTTCCACTGGGAACGTGAAGGAAAAATTATTTATTATTATTAGTCGTCCAAGAGTGACCTGGAGAAGGTCATATGAAGAGGAGATGAAAGTGTGTGGGAAGACTTGGAGTGGGGTGAAAAAGTTGACATAAAACCGAACTTAGATAAAGCAATAAGAAGACGTAATTTGTCTGAATCGTCTTCTTATTGCTTTATCTAAATTCATAAAGGGAACTAATTGTTTTAAATAAAACCGAACGCAATGGAAACGCGCGGCTGAAGCCCTATGTTCCTATAGGAAATAAAGGATATAATAATAATGAAACGTCTAATAAAATTTCTGGATCTTTCCTGAAGAATCTCAATATTATCAAGATAGACTTCGTGAAATGTGTGCAGTTATAAGTGAACGCTGAATGAATGTCCTACAGGGTTCAGTCTTTTCACAATAGATTTTGCACACCATACTTGATAATGAATCCCGTGAAATAATATTTTCCAAATAAACTACAATACGCGTGACTTCACCAAGGATGTAACCTTTAGGTTACAATGCCACCTCATTAACCATTCAGTCACCGGGAAAGAATCTAACGCCCCACCGATTCTAAACTCTGACAATTCGCCATATATGTAGCGCGACTGTCATCCATTGTCATCAGAGAATATTCCTCCTCGTCCCAAAGTTGGCGGACTTAGCTGGTCATAACTTCCCACTGGAACTTCAGGCAAATTCATCCTGTGGTCAGTCACTAGTGAACGATAGACTAATTTCCAAGTTCCCGGGCAGGGTCATGTGTGCGTACTAATGAAGATTCCCAAACAAGGATGAAACAACTGTCCAGTACTCCCTGATTCCTGCTGGTTCTCTAGATGAAATCAGTTTATGACCAGTCGAATCAATCGAATCCCTGCAAACAAACATTCGGGAAAATAAACTACTTGACAGTAAATTCACGTTTTCTAAAGGAAACTATGATACCGCACTAGTTGACACCTCCAGTTGATGAGATTTTAGGCATGAGAACTGCATAGAATCCCAAATGTTGTCATTTATGATTTTTCCAAAGAATTTTACTGGTCACTTTATTTTGATCAGATTCTTTTTCATTTCCACTAAACATGTGTATTTTTCCTAAAAGATTGTAGTAAAACGGTAACATTCAAACACTAGTAAGGTGACTGTTTTGTGCCACGCACCTGTAAGCAAAATCACCTTTCCGATGTTACTGTTATTCGTCATCAGTGTAAATTAACCAAATTTTTGCCTCAAAATTTACTTATATGTGTGTTTGACACCATGGCCGATAACTCGTAAAAAATGCTCATTAAGAAGCGCCTATCTCATAATAATAGATATCGAATGGATTTCCAACTATCAGTTACAAAGTAAACATCATTTTGTGATATAGGCGTCAGTAGTCCAGCTATCGAATACTGGCCACCAACCACTCATGTGGTCCAACGTTCGATTTTCCGTTGACTTACATCCACAATCCTCCAATCTAGTTTACTTACGGGTAGTAGACCCAGGATAAAGGTAAGGTTTGGCGTGGGGCTAGCAACCTCACCTAGCAAAGCTTATTGCTTGTAGAATATCAGTCACACTAATTTGCTGCTATTCAGGTAAAATCAGTAATAGTTGAAGGAACAAACACACGAAAAAAAAATAATTACACTATAACAGATCACAAGAGAAAATGACTGAAAGCAATATTCATCTAAGGATTAATTTATTTGTATTATTATGTACAATATATACAATAAAAATGTACATATACTATGGAAAATACTTTACATATTGTCAAGTACTTATTTTAAAAAAGGAGTAGTGTTTGTAAAGACGGCAATATACATCGAATCAATTAGACAGATTCAACCGGAACAGGTATCCACTTTCGTAGTAACTCATCATTATACAATTCATCCACAAATGCGCATAAATCAGCTTTAATCTTCTGTAATTAAAAAACACAAAAAAAGCAAATAAAAGCATCAAAACAATAAATACTACATCACCAAAATCTACTGATCAACCATGTATATAATGTGCGTCGGTGGCTCAGCTATTATGACTCTCGCTGACCATGCAAATGGTTCGGGATTTGATCCCCTACCGACGCACACTTGGTATCTATGGTCGGCATGCAAAATTTGGGCTACTGATATCACATGCTGGAAATTCTATACGTGTGCCCCAAAAACTGCAGTGTGGAATCAAGGTGTAATCAAAAAAATAAATAAATATGTGAAGTCAAAAAGAGAAGTCTATTTTTTAAGTGTTCGTTTTGCAGGAAATTGATTGATTTCAAGTTTGATTACGAAGCGACTGTAGTTAGAGAACCAGTAAAAACCAGGGAGTACTTACTGTACAGCTGTTTTGTCTTTGTTTGGGATTCGTTAGCAGTACAGCTAACAGCCTAACTAGCTCTCAGGATAGACGATCGGAATGTCGGAAGCAACATTTTGAGGAGCAGTTAAACTGGCTTACAGCTACGCTCAAATTGCACAACATCCAACACCTCTATGTGAATGGGATGTCGACATTGGTCCTCGTACTGTAACTCAAGTTACAAAGGCTGTCTTTATAATTTGAAACGAGGCAAAGCAGCAAGACCTGATGGAATTACTGCAGAGGTGTCTAAGGATGGTGGTAACATCGTGCTATCTGGGCTGTTATTGTGTAACGTCTGGGAATTAGATATGCTTCCATTGGGCTGGTGTAAGTCATTGATCATCCCAGTATACAGGTCTTCCTGGGATATTCATAGGGGGATTAGCATGACTAATATGATATCTAAAGTCTTAGCCTCAATAATCATGCGTAGATTAAGTGGTATTCCGGAAACACAAATCCGAAAGAACTAGACAGGTTTCGGATGGGGTAGAAGGTGTATTGGTCAAAATTTCAACCTTCGACAAATTCTGGAACACAGATATATTTACGGGCGCCCAGCAATCGTCATATTTTCTGGTCTGAAGGTGGTATTCGACTCCGTTAATCGAATGTTATTATGGCAAGTTTGCTGTGAAGTGTTTTGATAAAGTAAAATCGCACTAGTCAAGTCACTCAACTCAAACTCACAAAGTCATCTAAGAGCTTACGGATAGTTGGTTTCTGAAGTTATAATATAAGGTGATGCTAGAGGACTGGACTACATCGACCCTCAGCTTACAGACAGCGAGTAAAGTGGTAGGTCATGTTGACAACTTTACTTATTTGGGAAGTTAAATCGCCCCCAGTGAGTTGGTCGCTGACGAAATCTCAGCACGGATACAGAAGGCTCATTTGGCATTTGCCAAATTGCTTTATAAACGGAGAAGACGTATTATCTGCCTATCAGCCGAAGGACGTGTGTACTGCGCAACAGTTCCATACGTCTTCCTTTACAACTGTGAAACACGAACATTGAACGTGAGAGACATGAAAAGGCTAACTGTCTGTCTGGATTCAACATAGAACTTGGCACCCAAGTGCACCAGTTCCAGTTGCCACGTTCCAAATAGCACACAGAGGTAGACAAGAAGATGAGTGAAGAGAATTAATAGAGTTTGACAAATATAAGAGTGAAACAGAATGGGTAATGGTAGAAAGGAATATGAAAGATTACAGAGATTGAATACATCTGCGCCATTGACAACGATTTTGAGCCATGTCACCTATTGTCTCCAGCCATTGATTCCTAGAGTCCCGAGGGCCCCAACCCGGGAGTCTGCATCTCCCTACCTGACTCAGTTTAACTGTCAAGGATTTCATGGATTGATGCCATGTTTTTGTTTGGCCACCACTGGCTCTTTTCCAACCTGAACCTATATCAGCCAACAATGCCCGTCGGGGGAGGCGGTGGTTAGGCATGCGCACCACGTGACCTAACCATCTTAATCTATGTAACTTTATAGCCTCGTCGATTGATTTTCCCTCTTTGCCCAACACTCTACGCCTAACGTCAACATTACTTACCTTATTAAACCACCTAACGTGAGAAAGAGATCGCAGACATCTATGATCGAAAGCAGTCAACCTTTTCATGTCTTCAACGCGTATTGGCCATGTTTCAGAGCCATAGAGAAGGACGGAGCGAACTGATGAGCAGTACACACGTCCCTTGGTTGATAACCGGATGTCACGCCTACGCCAGAGATGGTGTAAGTCAGCGAAAGCAGCTCGAGCTTTTCGGATCCGTGCTGAGATTTCATCGCCAATCAGTCCGTTGGTGCTAATACAACTTCCCAAGTAGGTGAAGTGGTCAACATGTTCTATCACTTCACTCCCTATCACTAAGTTAGGGGTTGACGTCGTCCAGTCCTGTAGCAGCATCTTACATTTTATAGGGGCGAATCGCATGCCAAACATACACAGATTGCTGCTCAACGTGTTCAGAAGACTCTGCATTTTGTCAGCATCCTCCCCTAACAGGACTATGTCATCTGCATATTCTAAGTCCATTAGATTATTCCCTGGTAACAAGTCGATTCCTAAGTCACTACGTTCAGTTAAGGATACTTCCATTAGCATATCTATGATGAAGTTAAACAGAAATGGGGAAAGTGGACATCCCTGTCGGACACCACTGGTTGTTACTAATTCAGATGACAATTCCCCATATGCCCTTACACGACTACGTGAGTTTGAATAGAGTGCATTGATTAGTGCAATGTACTTTCTTGGCACTCCCTTCACAGTCAGACATTGCCATAGTACTTTCGGTCCACGGAGTCGAAGGCCGCCTTCAAGTCAAGAAATATGACAATTGTTGGACGCCGAAAAGTGTGTCTATGTTCTAGAATCTGTCGAAGAGTGAAGATATGATCTATGCACCAAAAAGGCTAACTACCTATCATCATAGTTTTCTGAGTTCTAGCTCCCATGTTAGGTGGTATAATAGGGTCAGGTTAGGCGTCGAGTGTTAGGTAACGAGGGAAAATCAATCGATGAGATCCTGAAGCCACATTGATTGAGATGGCTAGGACACACGCTGAGCATGCCAAGCCATAGCCTTCCTCAACGGTCAGTCATACCTGATATAGCGCATTACGTTGGAAAAGAGGCATTGGTGGTGAAATGAAAAGATGGCATCAGTTCACGAAATCGTTGGTAATTAATTTGAGCCAAATATGGAGGTGAAGACTGCTGGTTGACGTCCTCGGGATTCTAGGAATAAACGGCTGCAGATAGTTGGTGACATGGCTCAAAATTGTTCTTAATGGCGCAGATGCGTTCAATCCCTGTGGTTACTATTCTCTCTCACACACATTTCCGCTTATTATCATTCTTCCGAATCTTCTTATTTTTTCTTTTGTCCTCCTTTGTGTGCTATACGAAGTGTGGCAACTCGAACTGCGGCACTTCTGTGCATTTTTATACTGAAATAATTCAATCAATTTCATCATGAGCTGACACTAGTTAGAGAACCACTGGAAAACCTGGGAGTACTGGACAGTTGTTTCGTCAACGCTAGTTTGGGACTCTTCATCAGTACGCACCCATCGCCAGAGTTCGAACCCAGGACCCTCCGGTTACAAGGCGAGCTCGTATACCATTAAGCCACCGGGCCCCGTTCCAATGGTCCTTGAATTCCAACTTCTGCCGATTCACGACATAGCGCGACCGCTAGCCAATGTCTTCGGCGAGTATTTGTCCTCACACCCGACCCGCTGCACCCTACTGGTCACGACTTCCCATTGGAACCCAGGTAACTACCTACCCGAATACAGCCAGTCGCCAGTGAGCATCTCATTGGTATTCAAGTGTTGGTTTGTAGGGATTTGATTGGTTTCCTTGAATTCAATCAATCTTCAGCAGTACAAATCCATAAACCAACCAGGGATCAAACCCAGGAAATTCAGGTTACAAAGAGAACTCCTTGACTTTTCACCAACAGGGATAACATTCAATGGACCATCAGTTCTAACGACTGACAAATCGCTATATATACAGCACGACGACCGCCAGTTAATGTCATCGGAAAGTAGCTCTTTTCACACGCAACTTTAGTGGATCTCACCAGTCCCACTAGAACTCCGAGCAACTTCTGACTGTAGTCAGTCACTAGCGAGCAACAGATCACTTATATTTGCTTTCAAAAAAAGTTTTATCAAATTTAGAAAAACAATTAAAACCATACGACAGTATACACGGTTAGCACTTATCGACAAAAGACACAAGAACTAAAGAACTACTAGCATCTATTAGTGACAATGACAAAGAAAGTGTGCAACTTCAGTATTAAGAAGTAAAGATTTCAATCCCATGTATGCCTTGTTATTGAGATCAAGTAGAACTTCCCGTTGACTAACATGTAGCACCAAACAGAGTGTACCAGCCTGTAAGCCATGTCACATAACTTAGTGCTTACTTGATCCACATATTGTGATCAGCGCTAACAGTTAACACTAATAAACATAACCTGCTTGAATCACTGGGCTACCGTAACTACTTTCTACCAAAATGCCTAATTTCATCTGGATTTATCATTGTTTTAATCGTCTAGTTATATCAAATGACCCATACATGAACATGAGCGCTGATTTAACTTGCTTCCAAGTAAACGCTGTGCAAGTCTTCAATAAAATGAAGATATACTCCAGATTATTACTTTACATGTAAACCCTATATGAATAAAAAAGTATTCTGGAAATGAATGAGACAAAAACTTTTGTACCATATGTTCGCACATTGTTTGAAATAAAGATTTATTATTATTTTATTATTATTATTATTATTATTATTATTATTATTATTATTATTATTACTATCAACCCAACTACGCAGAATTACGATGGCAAAAAACAATAGTGTTGCATACTCCATCTTTCGTTTATTCCTAAAAGAAATATGTTCTGCAGGCTGAAACCGGCGTCAACTGGTTTAAATCACAAGGCACAACGTAAACCATTGAACCTTTGGCATAATTTCATTGGACAACATTTCATACCTGACCTTATATAACCACTCAAATTACTTATTGGTATTTACAAAAGCATATTTGATACAACAGAAATGATACCAAGTTATTAGCTAAATGACGTTTACAATACATCTGATTGCTCATAATCACTTCTCAATGTATTCACACGACTTTGAAAACCTCCTTGATATTGTTCTACAGTCTGTTGTTGCTTTTTTGGCAATTTCCTATATTTCCGGTAAAGGCGTTGTAACACTTCGTTTCCACATGTTTGGTGTTGGATTTGATGAACAAAGATAAGGTGATTAAGCTCTTTCTTTCTCTCTCCCTCAGCCTAATTGCATTACTTCTTAATACATTCTACCACAGTGAACAAATTCTACTCTTAAAACTGGTTATTACTAGTATAATACATGCGATATGCCCTTTTATCGAAGAAAGTTTATGTTCTCACAAGCACAGACCAAACTTGTTGTTTAACTTTTCCATGAAATCAGCGTAGCAGACGGTACTTCAAGGAGAACAAGTGAGTATTATATTGGATTCGGTGTCAAACTCAAATCCTAATATATTACTATTAACAGATATAACTCTATTCTGTTCTGTTTTCGACATAGAACTTTGCACAAATGTGCGACAGTTCAAGTCGCCACACTCCCTCCTTGTAGAACACAAAGCAACAGAAGAAAGTAGAAGAAATGCATAATAGAGACAGTAAACAGAGGTGTGAGAAAAAGGAATAGTAATAACGAAGAACAAAAGTTTCATTGGAAATCATAAGTCACAAGGAGTGGATGCATCTGCACCAGCCATTGAGGACGATTTTCGGTCATATCACCAATTGTTTCCAACCATTGGTTTTTACCTTCCCGAGGACCCCAACCAGTCAGGAAGTCTACACCTTCCTACGTGGCTTAAGCTAACTGATGTGGATTTCATTGACTGGTGCCATGTTTTGGTTTGACCGCCGCTAGCCGGCTCTCTTCCAGCCTGACCCTATATCCGCTAACATTGCTCGTCGAGGAAGGCGATGACTAGGCAAACGTAACACATGTCCTAACCATCTAAGTCTTTGTAAATTCACAACTTCGTCGATTGATTTCCCCTGTTTACCTAGAACCCAACGCCTAACCTCAATATTGCTCACCCTATTATACTACTTCCCACGGGAGATAGAACGCAGGCACCTATTATCAAAGACAACTAGTTAGGCTTTTCATGTCTTCTACTCTCAGTGGCCAGGTCTCACAGCCAGGACTGCTGAGCAGTACACACGCCATTTTGTCGATACCCAGATATCAGGTCCACGCCAGAGACGGAGTAAACTGGCATATGCGAAACTACCCCTCTGTATCCGTGCTGAGATTTCGTCGGAGATCAACCCGTTGGCGTTGGCTGATGCAACTTCCCAAATCAGTGAAGCGGTCAACGTGCTCTACCACTTCAGTTGCTATTTCTAATCTAGGAGGCGTGTAGTCCTGTCCTGTAACATCATCTTACATTTGGCGGGAGCGAATCGCATGCCAAACATTCGTAGATTGCAGCTCAAGGTGTTCAGAAGACTCTACCCTATTTTGTCAGCGTCCTCGCCTAGAAGGTCTGTCTGTCTGTTTTCGACATAGAACTTTGCACAAATGTGCGGAAGTTCAAGTCGCCACATTCCGTGTAGCACGCGAAGCAAGAGAAGAAAGTACAAGAAAAGCATAATAGAAACAGTGAGCAGAGGTGTAAGACAAAGGAGTAATAAAGAAATACAAAACAGTTTCATTGGAAATCATAAGTCACAGGGAGTGGATGCATCTGCGCCACTGAGAACGATTTTGAGCCATGTCACCAATTGTTTCCAACCATAGATTTTTACCGTCCCGAGGACCCCAGCCTGGAAGTCTATACCTTCCTGCGTGGCTTAGACTAACTGTTGTGGATTTTATTGACTGGTGCCATGTTTTTGTTTGACCGCCGCTAGCTTTTTCCAGCCTGACCCTATATCCGCTAACATTGCTCGTCGAGGGAGGCGATGGCTTGGCATACGTAACACACGTCCTAACCATCTCAGTCTTTGTAGCTTCACGACTTCGTCGATTGATTTCCCCTGTTTACCTAGAACTCTACGCTTAACCTCCATGTTGCTCACCTTATTATGCCACTTTACACGGGAAATAGAACGCAGGCACCTATGATCCGCCTAGAAGGACTATATCGTCTGCATATTTTAAGCCAACGAGATTATTCCCTGGTGGTAACAAGTCAATCCCTGAGTCTCTGAAGTGAGTTAGGGTTAAGTCCATTAGTACATCTATGATGAAAGTGATAGAAATGGCGATAATGGGATAACAGATATGACAGATTTGACATGTTACCGATTCTACTACTACATAGTGGCTATTCACAGTCCGAGTGCATTTAAAGATACAACTCCATCTCCCTTCGCTTTCAATTAACTTCGTTTTAGATCATCTTTGAGAAGTTAGCTTCTATACTTTCTGACTGAACAGGAAGTAATTGTGTTTCCCCACTCAGTACTATAATATGCACCTGACATTTCTCTTAGAATAACATTGTAGTAAGCATTTTACCATTGAGGCTTAAAAGTAATATTTTCAAATTCGTCTATATATAAACTTATTTTTACGTGTTTGACCACGGATTGATATCAGTTAGAGAACCACAGAAAATCAGGAAGTACTGGACAGCTGCTGTTTCATCATAGTTTGGGAATCATCAGCAGTACGCACCCACCACAGCAGGTTAGAACCCAGGACCTTCCGATTACAAGGCAAGTTCGTATACCATTCAACCACTGGGACCCGATTCAATGACCAGCCCATGAATTCTAACTTTTACCCAGTGGGTGCATACTGCCGGTGATTCCCAAACTAGCATGAAACGGCTGTCCAGTACTCCCTGGTGAATTTCAATGCTGCTCTCTAACTGATATCAATCCGTAGTCAAACTCGTAAAAACAAATTAAATCCTTACAAACCAACTCTTGAAAACTATATACAAAATGTCGAGTTTGAAGAAAAAAAGAAAAGAAAAATCGACATTGAATTGAACGTTTGACTGCTAAGTTGATGAGAAGCTACCTTAGCGCATTTTACGATTATTCACATTTTCGAACAGTACACACATCAAGAGTAGATTGTAAATTAAATCAAATAAATAATAAAGAGAAAGAGATGAAAATACTCACTTCTAATTCTTTGTCTCTTTTCTTCTCATCAATTGTTTTATAAGCTTTGCAGAGACGTTGTTCCAATCTTTGTCTTTTTCGTATCGCTGATACACACTTCCTGTGAATAACTGCTTCAATTTCTTTCAAAGGATCTTTTTCAACAGTAGCCTTTTGTTCAGTTGATTTAACACGAGTCTTTGCTCGTTTAACCGGACATATTGGAGTCGAAGGAGATGTAATGCCAGATAATTTTTGACTGCCTCCATTAGTCATTTTAGGAGTTACATCCAACTTACGGGGACTAGATACATGAAGATAAAAGTAGGTTCAGTGAAATACTACCCGAAGCGTACACAAATATCGTTTAAGAGTTAAATGATATAGAATCTTATTCAATAACCACTTGGAATTCCATGCATTTGAAAATGAGCTATACCTATTGTGCGATGGCTATAGATACCATTTGGCGGCTGCATAAACTTCAGTAGGTGGATTGAGACTCGAACCTTTGACCCACTGGTTGACAGTCAAATGTCTAGACAGATGACCCATCACAGGTGAATACACCTATTGAGTTTAGTATTCCAACTCCCTTAACAGTTCATATCTAGTCATATCTACAAACTCCAACAAACTATTTACGTGCCTTAAAAGTAAAGGTAAGAGATAACTCTTACGCAGTGCCAAGTGGAACAAATACTCTGTAAATACTAACCATAGAACGCATACGGGAATTAGTTTCCGTGGAATATAGTTTTAATCAGAAGTTGCAAATGAGGCATGCAAACCATTTCCCTGTAACTTGAGCACAATTTTCTTTCAATGCTTAGGCTAAAGTCGATGATGGCAACAACACATCTGTGTCTGTTTGACAGTATTTACTCGAAAAGTACTGCACTTAAGATATTCATATGATTAATATCTTTTTTAACATTCCTTTGCGTTCCAAGTAGAATGCAAGGCTTCAAGCGTCAGCTTAGGAGTTTCATTAGCAGCGACGCTTTTTTATTTTATCTTACGGGGTGGAATTTCTAGTCTCACACTTAACCCTCCCTATTCATGCGGATTATCACTGACTGAGCGAGGTCTAGGAGTAGACTGGTCGAGAATCCAGTCTGAAACTCATGCGTAGTTAGGAGTGAGCAGTCTACCATTGGATCACTGATGCCATATAATTAATTGAAGGCAGCAATTGTAATTAAAAGAAAAGTGGGAATTGCTGACAATCGGTATTAAGTATAAATTATAGCTCAAATACAATAAAAAACCAACCAAGAACCTATTGCCCAACAAGTGTGCAGAAGGAAATACAAATAGATTGGAAACACGCTGATGAGACCACCACGTCACGCACTAGCGGGTTTATGAGTGGAACCCGAGTAGGAAACAACGAGTCGCGCGTCTGAGAGCAACATGGAAATGGTCAATCGTTGAGCCAGATATAAAAGGCTGCATAGATTTGATTAAAATGCAGGTGTGCTACTTGGAACCCAAGGGAATAATAATAATAAAACAAGGTAAGTCTATTACTAAGGGTTTCCACAGTCAAGTTAAACGAACCAATTAAGCTAAGCAAGCACAAGAGCTTCATATGGTTGTAAATACACAAGATTACTGAAATTTAACTAGAGAGCTTACATTTTTGATCGAGTGGCAGGCATCCTGGTTACCTACAAAAGACAAATGGAAATAAATTCTGATTAAAAATACCATGTAGATAAGATATGACTAGTCAAGATCACATCTACTTAGAATGCGTCATTAGTCACACAATGTAATTTAGCGGTTTAATATACCGATCTGTATTTGAAGAAAAAACTGAAATTACACTTAGTTTTACTTTTAGACAGTCATATTTTTCACAACCCTGCACTATGTATAAAGTCACTAACATATCAATAAAGTATGGATTCACACCTATCTTCTAGAAAGAATTTCATAAAGAAAACTTAATCAGTTAACTGATGTTGCCAAGGGTGGATTTCTCAAGTACCAGGTAATAAGACCTACTTATTGTGGTAGTACCATTTATTTGCCCAGGGTGAAGGAGGAGAGGTGAGATTTGAAGGCAGAACTGATTGGTGGAAAGAAAATTCCAGGGAGGAATAGTCTATGCTGGCTCACTTTCAGTAATCCAGATTATTATAAATATAAAGCCCAGCCAACATACCTGTCAGTCGTCTTCAACCCCTGGAGGTTGGAAAAAGTGAGGTAATCAATAAAAAGCTAAATCTGCTGGTATACAAACACAAAGATATTATTACATCGAAATATATAACAGGTCAGCTGAAAACTTTACAAAGAAATGCATCAGTATAAGCTGTCAATTTCGAAATGAAATATGAACCAAAGAAAGAGAGAGATACATTGATGCTATAACGGACAAGCATGTATTCAAGAGAGGAAATAACTCCATGAAACCTCACAGTAACAGAGGGACGAGGAGTAAATAATTCTAAGCCATTATAAAAGATTTGGGCCATCTCACAACGAGTTCTTCAGCAAATAATTCTCACAGTCATGTGAGCATCAGACAGTCAGTCAATCTACAGATCTACCGTCTACGACTTTAAGAACAGATGCCATATTTTTCTTCTAGCCTGTTCCAGTTAAAATACAGGTTCTAGACACCTCAATTGATGAAGTTTCACAGCCTTATCAGTCGACTAACCCCCATTACCTAACACTACACCTAACCTCACTATTACTTACGATTTTTATATACGTGAAAGCAGCACATGAACCAAGACGTTAGTAACTACGTATTTTGTACCCAAAACGGCCGTCTCACTGCTTTGAAGTACACGTAAATTGTGTCAAGTAGCCCGACCCAAAGGTGGTGCAAGTTGGTAGATGAAAAATGAGTCCTCTGTATCCGTGCTGAGATTTGATCATCGATTAGTCCGCTGAGGCTAATTCAGCTTCACAAATGAGTGAATTCGTTAACATATTCAAACACTTCACTACTCATCTTTAAATGAGGATTCAGAGTAAACCATTTCTATAGCACTAACTTAGACCTGATAGGTGACGCGCTAAACACAATCAGGATTTCTATCAAGATGTTTGGATGACTATGCACTTTGTTTGAGTTTCTACCTAAAATCATCACTAAGTTTATCCGAACTGCAGTCGGTTGGGGCGTAAGCGGAGACTATGAAAGACAACAACGGGTAACGCCGTCCTTACTTCTTCTAACGAACCTGTCCGAAGCAGCGCACACGTAAGATCATCTAGTGAGATCCATTCAAGTAGATTTTTCTGTTCCAATACCAATGCTATCCCTACACCTGCGAGTCCTCACGAACTAGCTGAAGAATCTCTTGACACCCGTAAAGTGAATTTTACATATTCGCCCTGTTCGTCAAGTGGTGTCAAGTGAATAAATACGCTTGACTCTTGTATACGCATCTCTCAAACTCAACATACATCCATGGCTCGAGATACTATAAGCTCTAGCTAGTGATACCTGTTGTCCAATTCGGTAGAGGATACTGACGTTGAATGCTTCTATATGAAGTTGGTGGCGTGGTTTTAAGAGGTTACCTGAGGTGTTTTTCTGGCTCTCATCCTTATTTGTGGTTACAGAATATACAGATGACTGACTAGTCTGCGGGAAAGTACTGACAGTATTAGGAAAACAACATGATGAGGGTGATAGCGATAGAAGAGAATGATGATCATGAGGGCTACACATACTTTTGGAAGTGTATGGACGATTGTTACTTCCGGGCTACTCACACCGTGGAAGTTGATTTTTCCTTGAGGTACCTGAAATAGTAAGAGAATTAGTGTTGCGTGACTACACAGCCCAGGGGACAACTGCTTGAGGCCGGTTACACCCAGTCTGTCTGAAGTGGCTTTTTAGTTTAGTTAGAGAAACCTGAACAATACAGGTTTATAAAGAGACAGTCAGATACTATTCAAATGAAACCCAGTATTACTGCATGTCAGTCAAGTCACCACAAAATATAAAACGCTTCAAGCATGATTCACGTAGCTCTTCACAACTACTAGTGGAAGCAGTAGTAGGCTCTATAGTGGATGAACCAGAAAATCAGCTAAACGGCTTCTTGTCAATATTTTGTCTACCTATTGAAACGGAATTTAGCCATTTGGACCAGTGATTTGATTTTTTGCTGAAATATGTGAGAACTTTGACTGCTTCATGTTGGCACCACATGAGCGGCCTATTTATTCTAGATATAAATGACCTGCACATAGCAATTTTCAATGTTACTATTTGGATCTATCGAAACTCCATGCTGTTCTAAAAAAGTGAATCATTTTTAGCAGAAATACACCCAAAAATGTTGAAAACTTTTGGAAAACTCACATTTTCAGTTTCTGACACTTTCAGCTTCTTCAACGCAGGTTTCGAAACTGAATTCCTCTGAAGATTTCTATATTGGACAAATATCATTAAATAATTAGTTAAGTTTAAACAGTACAATGAGAATAAATCAGCAAACCAGAATATATATATATATATATCGTAAAGTCAATGACAGTAAGGATGCGGTGAGAGCTGGCTGTTAGTCCAAATTGGTGGACAGTAATTTACGTCAATGTTTACGTCCCCAATATTGGTCGCGAGAAAAATGAGAACAAAGGCTTTGCGTAAGCCGATACAGTTAACATATAGATGATCTGACATTCAAGAAACAGCCACAAAGAGATGCAAGGTTAACTTTCTGTGAGAAACAACCAATCAGAAGACTTTTTTTCTGCTAACAATAGCCTATAATAATGTACATGAAAATCTATAAATATGTGCCTTTGTCTTCTGTTGTTACAAGGACATCTAACAAAATTCAAGCCAAATAAACGAAATGACATTGTGGCGTGTTCTACTGACAGAAATTCATGAGTAGTATATTGGTGACGTCTTTTGTAAGAATCTCATATGGCGAAAACACAGAGAGAGGAGAAATTAACATACTTAGTAAGCGACATATAAAGTGTGAGATGAAGAAAAAATCAGACTAAGAATAACTTCTACAAAGTGAAACTTAAATGTGATGTTTTTATATTTTGCTAACACTGTACATACGATTTTGCCAGATAAATAATTCTGCTAGCAAATACAATAAGCTCGCCTTGTCAACTAATAATAATAATAATAATTTGCTTTATTCCAAAACAGTACTTGCGATAAACAGAGGAATTCTCAGTATTTCACTGCAGTATTGCATCCAGTTGGTACATTAACGATAAATAAAATTCTACATAGATTAAGGGTAATCTTAATTCATTATGACAACAACATATTAGCATGTCGGTAGCAAAGCCGAAATTGAACAGTGTTTGAAAGTGTTAGAAAAGTAGATACCAGCATATTTACTGGCGTAAGCAGTTACAAAAACGTCGAGATATACAGAGTGTGAAAGAACGGCGATGAATGTTTTAAATAGAGTTTGTACGGAAGAGAGAAACAAAATAGCACATAACAAAAAAGAGAGAGAGAAAAGGGAGAGAATGAAAGAAAACGTTGCACCTATAAATGACATGAGTTGGAAAGACGAGACCCAATTGTTCTACTGACCATTTAATAAGTTATAAGTTTCACGCCTGGATATGATAAATAACAAAGAATGAATGCATTAGCGCTATTGAGAACAATTTCGAGCCGTATCACCAAATGTCTCCAGTCATTGGTTTTCACTATCCCGAGGACCAGGCGTTGGTGGCTTGGTGGTAGTATGCTCGCAAAACACGCATATGCTCCGGGGTTCGACCCACGGCTGACGCACTCCCAAACGTCGCTGAGGCGGTAACAAGACCGGTGAAGAAGGAAAGTTTAGCATGAGGTTAGCAACCCCACCCTGTGAAAATAAACACTACTGCTAGCGAAACTTCAAAGCTATAGCTTGAAGTCCTATGATTCACTGGGATTGTAAAGGAATAAAATAATGAAAATAAAAATTCAGAGGACCTTAACCAGAAAGTAGGCAGCCCATACACTTCCATAAGCACAAAAAGTCTTCCTGGTAGTTAAAAATTCCGTTCCGTTTAAATGGATAAACCAAAGAGGAGGCACATTAATGCCATGTGCGTCGGTGGCACACTGGTTAGGACTCTCGCCGACCATGCACATGGTCCGGGGTTCGATCCCCTGCCGACGCACACCTGATATCTGTGGTCGGCCTGCGAAATTTGGGCTACCGATATCCATGCTGAAAATTCCATACTTGTACCAAAAACAGTGTGGAATCAAGCTGTAATCAATATATATATATATATATATATATATATATATATATATATATATATATATATATATATATATATATATATATATAAGATCATCCAAGCTCCCTAAAACCCAACTTTTTCACTACTCACTGAGATGTGTTGATATGCGACGCTCAAACAAATTATAATGGGAATGATGAAGTCAGACATTCTCAATTTAATCCTGAAAAAGAAATCTATACATATTTTTACGCTCAAGTACTCTTTGTAGTTCGCGTAAACATGTTCGGACTTTACTTTTTAGTTTTATTGTCCATGGCACCATGGGAGTAGTAGAATAAGTTTGCAATAATTCGGCTTATATATATATATATATATATATATATACAATGCACAATCATAATCAATCGCTCAACAAATCCCACAACTCGCTCCTTTCACCTAAGCTTAATCAAATTTACAATCATACCAAATGGAGACGGAGTTTAAAGAAGTCAGACAAACCTAACCTTTGAGAAGCAATCACGACTTATTATCTGACATAACTAAACACGCAATACTTTGTCTTTCAGTTACAATGATCGTTTGAGGCCTCCAAAGACAAACTTAACATTATATTTAACCAATTGGTTGCATGATACCTAAATAATTGCTGCTATACCTTACAAGTAACTCACACGGTATATGTGTGAAAATGGTTAACAGTATGTATATAACATATAAAACGAACATAAAAACAATACTTTAAATATTAAATGAGCACTTAAAAAGTCTGTGTTTAATAACATACCTTTCAGTTTTTGTATTGCGTTTATCTCTAAGTGAGGAAGCTACTTTCAACTGATAATCTAAAACTTCTAACCTAAAACGGATGACTAAAACTACATTTCTATCGGGCTTACTTTTGTTGACGAGTATTTTCCACTTCTTTAACAAGATTTTCGCGAGCCTTAACAAAACTGTCACTAGTTGCTTTAGTTCTGTATTTATAGTTGATATCACCCAGAAATTCTCCCCTGCAAAGAGAAAAAAGCATCCTATAGGTGAACATTATGGATTTTATGAAGCTTCGTACAACTGATCAACCTCCTTCATAAATCTCAAAACAACCAAGAATGTACAATGGAGTATAAGCTGTAACGGTCAAATTTCTGTAAATAGTGTTGGCAAGCTCCGTATACTTAATAAAATATGCAAATTCGGAATCTTAAGGCAATCTCAATAAACTCATTTGAAATACAAACTAACGGTTATTAGGCTTGTAAATATCAAACGAATGCAATATAATCTGTTGATAAATAAATGATAGTTAATCCCTCACTACATTCTGTCTGTCTGTCTGTTTTCGACATAGAACTTTGTACAAATGTGCGACAGTTCAAGTCGACACACTCTGTGTAGCACGCGAAGCAAGAGAAGAAAGTACAACAAAAGCATAATAAAGACAGTAAGCAGAGGTGTGAGACAAAGGAGGAGTAATAACGAAGAACAAAACAGTTTCATTGGAAATCATAAGTCACGAGGAGTGGATGCATCTGCGCCACTGAGAACGATTTTGAGCCATGTCACCAATTGTTTCCAACCATAGATTTTTACCGTCCCGAGGACCCCAGCCTGGAAGTCTACACCTTCCTACGTGGTTTAGACTAACTGTTGTGGATTTCATTGACTGGTGCCATGTTTTTGTTTGACCGCCGCTAGCTTTTTTCCCTCACTACATTAGTAATTTATAGGTTATTTTCTCTGAGATATTTCTCTTACTGGTTTGCGTTTCGAGTGGAACATAGGGCTTTAGGCTTGAGCTTTGAACTTTCAGGAGCGATGTAGCTCTTTGTTCTTAAGCGTGAGGCTGGCAAACCCACCCCATAAAATACAATCCCATCACAAGTGAAACTTAAAAGTGCGAGAATCAGGAAGATTTCTAAATTCGAGGATGGATGATGCAGGCGGATAAAAGACATCGGGAAAACAGTCAACTTAGATGTCTTCTTTCGATGAAACTAAAAGTAAGCATGGGGACATGCAATATACACATGACGCTTGAAGCCTGCCAGAAAGGCTGTTCAGATCACAAAAGATACTAGAAAATATAGTACAGAAGCGTTACCAACCTGTGTTAGCAGGTGGAAGAGATGTGGATTCGCTAAGTTTTTGACTGGAGTCAAGAATCTACTCAGATCAGCCAGATGACAACCACGAGTACACTGACGCAGTGAGTAGCTATCATGATATCACTAAAAGCAGCCAAAGTCCTTATGCAGTGGGAACCAGTCTCCGCCAGAATAGTGACAGGAGGATTCAACTCAAAGGGAAAGAAAGTTACAACTATCCAATACTACGCTCCTAAAAGCAAAACAGACTAAGAGAAGGAAGACTTCTACAAACAATTGAAAGCAGTAATGGACTCCAGGTGGCAACATCGAAATCCGAATGGATGATACGGAGATCCGGATCGACTTCATTTTAATTCTAAGAAAGTGGAGATGCTGGACAAGAAATCCAAAGACTTAGGCTCAGGACACTGTCTAGTGCAAGTAACCTTCATGGTCAAATTGACCAAACACAGATAATCCAAAAATAACACTAGTAGACACAGAATTGCCAGTGAACACCCACCGTCCCACAAAAGAATTCTTGAAGGTCATAAAGTTACTGAAAGCCGCGATAAGGCAGAAAGACCAAATGGAATTCTTTGGGAAGCACTGAAAAAAGATCCAGATATCTCAGAGGATGTGCTCACGCCTCTTCTGCAAGTGTTCAAGTAAGAAAAGGATAGCACAGGTTGAAATAAAAGCAACCTTACCAAAGAAAAGTGACTTGAGCTTATGCAAGGACTGCTGTGGAACCATGTCTCTGTCAACTGTGATTGAAATATTGGGGCACATCAATCTGGGATGACTAAAAGATGCCCTGGGTGGAATAATTATCAGGAAAACTAAGTCATACATAAATCAAGTCGCAACACAGGCATACGTTGGGCTAATAAAAGAACTTTAGATCTATATTTTGAAGGTGAATTATGTCTAATGTCGCACAAACTCGAAGATTTACTAGCGAAATCCAACAGGTTGGCTGAAGAGGCAGTGAGGACAGAACTTCAGGTAAACACAGAGACAACAGAGGTGATAGACATATCTCACCAATAGCAATCGACATCGACGGTAAAAATCTAAAGGAATTCAACTTTTCCACTTAACAGGATACAATCGTTTCAACTACAAGTAGCACGGATGAGGAAGGCAAAGCCATCCATGATCGGGAAAACAAAACAGAAGTTTACCAGCCTAAATTCAACGTGGAGATCTACAGCACATGGGAAAACAGTCAATTAAGTCCTTCTATCACACCTTCACCCTTGGACAGATCCTGGAACAGAGGCATACTGACATCAAATACTTTCCACATTTCTTCACCTGAAGGCGGTATTCGACTCCATCGACCCAAAAGGGTGATGGAGAGGTCTTTGGTTGTGAAAGCAATGCTCTTCCCATTTTTGCTTAATTTCATTATAGATGTACTGACTTCAGAGACTCAGAAATTGAATTGTCACCACCACGTCTGTCTGTCTGTTTTCGACATAGAACTTTGCACAAATGTGCGGAAGTTCAAGTCGCCACATTCCGTGTAGCACGCGAAGCAAGAGAAGAAAGTACAAGAAAAGCATAATAGAAACAGTGAGCAGAGGTGTGAGACAAAGGAGTAATAAAGAAATACAAAACAGTTTCATTGAAGATCATAAGTCACAGGGAGTGGATGCATCTGCGCCACTGAGAACGATTTTGAGCCATGTCACCAATTGTTTCCAACCATAGATTTTTACCGTCCCGAGGACCCCAGCCTGGAAGTCTACACCTTTCTACGTGGCTTAGACCAACTGTTGTGGATTTCATTGACTGATGCCAAGTTTTTGTTTGACCGCCGCTAGCTTTTTTCCAGCCTGACCCTATATCCGCTAACATTGCTCGTCGAGGGAGGCGATGGCTTGGCATACGTAACACATGTCCTAACCATCTCAGTCTTTGTAGCTTCACGACTTCGTCGATTGATTTCCCCTGTTTACCTAGAACTCTACGCCTAACCTCCATGTTGCTCACCTTATTATGCCACTTTACACGGGAAATAGAACGCAGGCACCTATGATCAAAGACAGCTAGTCTTTTCATGTCTTCCACTCTCAGTGGCCAGGTCTCACAACCATAAAGGAGGACGGAGCGGACTGATGAGCAGTACACCCGCCCTTTGGTCGATAGTCGAACATCTCGTCTACGCCAGAGTCGGCGTAAACTAACAAATGCGAAACGAGCCCCTTGTATTCGTGCTGAGATTTCGTCAGAGATCAGCCCGTTGGGGCTGATGGTACTTCCCAAATAAGTGAAGCGGTCAACGTGCTCTACCACTTCACTTCCTATTTTTAAACTAGGCGTCGATGTAGTCCAGTCCTGTAACATCATCTTGCATTTGGCGGGAGCGAATCGCATGCCAAACATTCGTAGATTGCGGCTCAAGGTGTTTAGAAGACTCTGCATTTCGTCAGCGTCTTCGCCTAGAAGGACTATATCGTCTGCATATTCCAAGTCAACGAGATTATTCCCGGTAGCAAGTCAATCCCTGAGTCGCTGAAGTCACCTAGGGTTAAGTCCATTAACACATCTATGATGAAGTTGAATAGAAAAGGAGATAATGGGCATCCTTGACGGACACCACTGGTCGTCATCAGTTCAGATGACAGCTCGCCGTAAGCCCTCACCTGGCTGTATGAGTACGAATAGAGTGCCTTAATCAGTGCAATATATTTTCTTGGAATTCCCTTTACAGCCAAGCATCTCCAGAGAACTTCCCGATCGACAGAGTCGAATGCTGCCTTTAGGTCAAGAAATATAATGACTGTTGGACGCCGGTAGGAATGCCTATGTTCTAGAATCTGTCGGAGGGTGAAGATATGATCAATACACCCTCTTCCTGGTCTAAAGCCTGCCTGGCTCTCTCGTGTTTGTGCTTCCCGAGCACCACTCAGTCTACGCATGATTATTGAGCCTAAGACTTTAGATACTATATTAGTCAAGCTAATCCCTCTGTGATTATCACAGGAAGACTTGTCTCCCTTCTTGTATATGGGGATAATCAGTGACTTACACCAACCCGATGGGACTTCTTCTGATTCCCAGACGCTGCCTAGTACCTCAGTTAATCCGGACAGTAAGCTGTCTCCACCGTACTTAAATACCTCTGGAGTCATTCCATCAGGTCCCGCTGCTTTGCCTAGTTTCAGATTGGTGACAGCTTTAGTAACCTCAGTTAGTGACGGAGGACCTGTGTCTATATCCCATTCAGGGAGGTGTTGGATGCTCGGAAGGTTGAGCGTGGCTGTGGGCAAATTAAACTGCTCCTCATAATGCTCTTTCCAACGATCCAGTCGTCTATCCTGTGAGCTAATTATAGTGCCATTTTTTTCCGAGATTGTCTCACTGATGATTTGTCTTCTCCCACCCGTTTCCCTGATGAGTCCAAAGAGTTGCCTGGTGTTGCCTATCCTCAAAGCTTTCTCCATCTCTTTGGCTTTTGTCGCCCACCACTGTTCACGGTCCTTGCGGAGACTTTTCGTAAGTTTCCTCTTGTGCAGCTTTCGCTCCTCATTGAATTCGGAGCTCGCCGGAATAAGTCTTCTAGCATCTATCAGTTCGGATGAGGCGGTGGAGATCCAGTGGTTTTTACTCACCTTTGGGTTTACCTTATTCACAGCTTTTACAGCTGTATCTATGGCTGCCTGGATATTTTTCCAAGCTTCTTCAGGGTGAGCACAGCTGTCGAACACAGATATGTGTTTAGCTAGTTCTTCCTCAAATACGGATTTAGTTTCCTGATCGAGCTGGGGACGTGATGGTTTTACCGCCAGCTGTTTCCTACGTCCGTTCAGTCGTAAGCACACCCGAGCGCGGACCAGTGCATGGTCGGTATCTACGCACGTGTTCCAGAAGGAGCGACAATCTCCTACCGACCCACGCCAACGATAGCTTAT